CACTTCTTTGATTGATCTTCATCTAACGGTGTTATGAGATTATTATTAAAAAATATATCAAAACCAGGATCATCTGGGTTAACTTTTTTGGAGGAATATAAGGTTTTATAGAAAGGACTTTTCTTCCTCTAGGATTTCTGTCGGATCTTCAGTTTCTTTTCCGTCGGATAATGTCAGCTTAGTAATTTTCTTTTTCAAAGAGCTTCTTTTTTCTAAGTTAAGGAAATACCTAGAGTTCTTTTCCCCGTCTTCGTACCATCTGGCTTTGCTGCGAAGGATTGTGCCTTTTATTCTTTTATTAGTAATCTTTTCTAACTTCAGTTTTAGCATATAGAACTCCTGAATAGTTTTATGATCGTTTCTTGACGTATCCAATTTTTGTTGGAGCTCATTCAATTTGGTAATCAATATTTTTTCTTTATCTCTTTCTTTTTTAGCTTTTTGCTTAGAATAGAAAATAGTGAAGCTCCTAAGCTCCATTTTTATAACGTCCCATTTAAGTCCCAAGTCCTCAACTTCCTTGTATTTTTCCTTGTATAGCTTAATATTATCTCTAATTTTATTGACGTACGTTTCATCCTCAAGCAGACTAGAATTAAACTTCCAAAAGCCCGGGCCAGAGCGCCTCTGATGCTCGCTGGATTGCACGTTGAAGATCACTGCTGAGTGATCTGAGAATTGTGTGAAAGCTATGTCACATTCTTTTGTTAAACTACCTAATTCTGATGACACAAGAAAATAATCTAAACGGCTTTGACTTTTGAACGCGTTATCGCGCCATGTGAACGACTGTGTTTGCGGATTTTTTTCTCGCCATATATCACAAAGAGAGTAGTTTGTCATCAATTGTTGGATTTCTTTTATGGTCATATCTTTATTGACGTGTGATCTTACACTTATTCGATCTTTGTTGTCAGGGCACAATTGAAATCACCACCTATCACTATGCTTTCTTCTTCGTAATCAGTCAAGGTTGTGTTTAACTCTTGAAAAAAATGTACTTGCTGAGCCGTAACGTTTGGGGCGTAAATATTAACTAATACAACGTGTTGATCATCCACCTTTGCATCTAAAATTAGTACTCTACCGTTTTTGTCTTTGGTGCACCTTTTCAGCTCAAATTCATGTTTTGGGTTTACTAGAATCATAACGCCTTTACTGTGATTAGTTCCATGATTGTAAAAGAGCTTCCCTCCCCATTCTGACTCCCATTGTTTTATAGTTTGGTTTGAACTATATGTTTCTTGTAAGAAGCAGCAGTGAGCGTTTTGCTGATGAAGCCACCTAAATATTTTTCTGCGTTTGATAGATTTGTTCATCCTCTGACGTTTAAAGAAATGATCTTAAGATTGAATGAGTTGTTCATTGGTGATATACGGTGTGAAATTCCAAATTAGTTAGCCCAGCTAGTTGAAATGAATAATTTGTGATGCTGAAACTAAATAATCTTCTTGATAATAAATGAAATTTATGGACATACTTGTACTTATTTAGGTTAAACGAAAAGATACCAAGCGGCACTAAACAACGAACAAAATCGTGGAAGATAAAACAAAAACATATTAACAAACTAACATGTACACATATGAGGCATGGCGTTTTTATAGGCGGTGGTTATGTTCTCGCCTAAATCGTTTCTAACGGCAATAAGTTGGCTATAATGAGTAAATCATACAATAAACCCAGGAGATACTATAAAGACTAATTTTAAAGAATATTGTACTATGTTTAAAGGATATTGTTTTACTTTAAATACTCTGGGATCTTGTCTGGAAGATACAAATTTCCTTGGACAAAGAGCCGACCTCTGTTGATATATGCTGGAGTGAGGTTGTTGTTTCTGGCGTTTTCTCAATGCGGTTGATAACTTTTTCTGCTCTTTTGCAGTTTCCTGAGCGTAGTCGGGTACTAGGATTACATGCTGGTGGTTTGTAGAATTGGCTTGTTCCTTTCTTTTATTCCAAAAGGCATTTCTGGTTTTCACGATTGACGAAGCGTGCGATTATTGCTCTGGGTTTTCCATCATCTCTTGGTTTCCCGGTGCGGTGAACCGCGTGGAACTCGATTGCTTCCACACCCTCCATTTGGACCTCAACCATTACTTCTCGTACAATTTCCTTGCAATTTTCTTCGGCGTTTTCTGGTATATTAAGGAGCCGTATATTTTTCTCGTCGGGTATAATTTTCTAACTTGATCGCTCTTGCTTTTTGGGCGGTGACATCAACTTTGAGTTGTGAATTTTCTTGTGTTAACTGAGCTTGCACATCTTTATTCTGCTTCTCTTGCTCCTTTAAGGCGTTAATTTCGACCCACGCTGCTTCCAGGGAATTCTTTAACTCGTCAGTATCGCTTCTTAATGTTGCTAGCTGAGTGTTGACGTCGATGCGTAAGCTATTTATCTCGCCCATTGCTTCAGCAAAGTTCGCATCTAGCGAACGTTGCATACATTCCAGTTTCTTCATTATGCTTTTTAGCGAACAGTCGGTTTCTGGCGACTCAGGCATACTAGAGCTTGAACTAGACTCTCTTAAACGTTTGTTGGCACTCATGCCAAGAAATTCAACTTAGAAATCAGCCAACTTGCCGGAGCAGATCATTACGCGTCCGTCGCCATTGCCTGCCCTCTTGGGAATCCATCATAGATATTATTGATTGATTTTTTCACGCAATGTAAACTAAAAGAAGAAGCTTCAAGATAGATTACAAAACAATTTGGGATCATAAGGAATTTTCAGAAAGGAACATTTTGATCGCGAAAGTATGGCGTATCTATGATGTGTCAAATTGGGCACTCTATTTCACATAATTAGCTATAATTGTCAATCAATTAATGGAACAACTTTTCATTTTCCACATATTTACTGAAAATTATTTTATTTTTGGTGTTCTTTCAGGAATTGTATTCGCACATGTAAACACTGCAAATTAACTCTGCACCATTTAGTGAGTCAACTAACTTTTTCTCTTTGTAACTCGTTAACCCAGCGAAAGAGAGGAGATTCATACAGCAACCATTCTTTCCCCACATGTTCGTTTCAGATTTCACATATTCTTGTCGCAACAGAGTAATGTGCTGTTCCATGACAATTTGATAATTCAATTAGTTGTTGTTTTTCAGTTGATTGAAAATTTACGTTTTGAATGAAATAAAATATTTTTTCAGCTTAATTTTCACTTTCTTCTATTTATTTCCAGCTTTAATAATAACCAATTATTGGTTTCTTGTAAATATGGATCTTGAAAGCAAAATGAAATGAGATACTTGTTTTTTTCAAGGGGTCAAAACAACTTAATGAAATTAAAACATTTGTTTAATTTAATTAAAACCGGAGATGTGGTGGTTTTTTTTTTACATCAGATGGTGTTTTACTGTGGGTTGAAGTCAAGAAATTGTTCAAGATTAATCAAAGTATTTGAAGTTTTTTGAGTGTTTCTGCTATATGAACTGTTGTTAAATTCAAGCACTTTAGTGTATGAATAATAAAGATTTTGTAGCATGTCTGGGTGAAAAGGTCACAATGAAATTCACATGAATATTTGAAGGATTTCCAATACAAGCGTGTAAAATTCACTATTTACTACACATTTTAAAACCATTACACTAAATATTTCTTGGTAAACCAGACCTAAAAGGGTGAATGTTTTAAATTTGAAATACGATATTTTTTTATTGGCCGTTGTCCCATGTAACGCACATGTTCATTTCACCTGTCATGCATTCTTATGTAACTGTTTCTTTGTCTAGTAACATTAAATATAGGGAAGAAATATGTAAAGACAATTGCTCGTCACAGATCAGACCCATCTAGCAATGGGGTTTTGTACTCTCACCCACCAGCTTAGGTTGGGATGGAATTAAGTGTGTGGAAGGGGGGAGGGGGGGGGGGGGGGGGGGGGGACTGACAGCCACGTGTCACCTACATGTATATATTGATAGTTGGGTGATTCCTTTGAGTGATAAGACAAGATTTTACCTACAAAAGCGAGGTGGTTCCATTAAACGGAAAAGCGGGGAAAATAGTCGATGAACTCTTTCTCGTCCCCAGGGCTCCCCGGGGACTAGCTGAAAAATAGGGACTGGACTCTGGACTGGACTGTCGACTAACTTGCAAATTTTGATAACAAGTCTCAAACTTATAAATTAAACACTTTGCACTAGTCGTTGAGTCTCTGGGTTCTCATTTTTACAGGTTAAGTGTACAACGCATGTCCAAGAAAATAAAAGCTAGTGGCATAACTAGAGGAGTGCGGCATAGCCAGTCAATGATAAAAAAGAATCACGTAAAATGTACTCTTCCTGGTATAAATGATCAGACTGTCAAACTGCAAACGCTGAGACCCATTGTTCTGTCAAACATGGAACATGTTGGTGAGTTAATTTTATACATATTTTGTAATTTTATGCTGTACATGTAGGTAGGGTTAAGTCCGTTCAGTCAGATGACTCAATGCCAGTGCTGGCGCTTAAATCCGGTTTCTAGGAATGCTGTTACTCCCTCTGGATGGAATGCCAGTTGTTTTTTGTATTTTGATGAGCCCACAGAGCTTGTCAAAATACAGCACAACTTATTATACAGTGATACTACACACTTACTGTTACTAAAGATAGAAAATTATAACTTACATGTATTACTAATGATTTCTAATTTTTCTTTCTTATACCACTTCTGTCTCACAGATCACAGTTTTGAAATTGTGGCATCAGTCCCTCTTTCAAGTATCTGTGATGTAAAGAAGTTTTCCAAGAAGAATTTACCAAAGGACAAGCAGATGTTTTTTGATGGATGGGTTTGAAATCCTCTGTAGTAACATCCAGTCATATAGGGTAAGTAGTCTAGCCTTGATTTCTACATGTATACAGGACTCTCCTTACAGGTCATTTCTTGAGTATGAAGAGTTTGTGTGGATTCTGTATCAAGAGGTGTGGTCGACATTGTTTTGTTTTAGTAAAGTAAGTGTATCCAGTTTGTCACAAGTATGGGACAAAGAAAAAAATCCCTGTCCTCCCTGACAGGAGTCGAGCCCATGACCTTCCACACACCGGTCGGATGCTCTAACCACTGAGCTACAGGAGACTTGTGGGCAATTTGGGCAATGTGCGGTTCCAGAAAATATCCATACCCACCCCAAGGAAGGTCATTGGAAATTCCGAGCGGGAGGGGGGTCTCAAAAGCCAAAATTTTTAAAGGAAAGTATGAAGCTAAACTGGAAATTCCAGGGGGTAGGGGGGTTCAAACCAAAAAACCCTCCATGGGGGAGGTATGGATACCAAATGGCACAATACACTTTTATACTCTCACAGTGCCTCTCTTCACCCAGGAGTATAAATTATGGGTACCAGCAAAATAGGCTATTTCCGAGTTGCCTTTTGCCTCTGTTTCAAAACGAGTCCTGGTGCACAACCTGTCACATGGAAATGAGTTTGATTTGCAAGACAATAAATGTGCAAGTAAAACTCATTTCCATATGAAAGGTTGTGCACCAGGCCTCGTTTTGAAACAGAGGCAAAAGGCAACTCAGAAATGGCGTATTGTTAGGTCAACCTGAGAAAATGTTGAAGGGTAACCTGCGATGGACTTAGCATTCCATCCAGGGGAATAGCAACACTCCTACATGTAGTCACTTCATGTTAAAGAAACCTTAGTTTTAAAGTGCTGGCACAAATGAGCTATCTGGCTCCTCCTATACCTAGGATTGGAATGGACTATATATCTTACTTTTCCTATGAATAATTTGTATCATAGTAAATGGTTTGATCATGAATCAAGGAGTATCAGTAGTTAATCAAGTGTGATCATCCGGGTGAGGGTAGTCCTGAAAAAGACTGTTGTTGGTGACTGATGTTTTGACAACCTGTGTGGAAGTCATCTTCAGAGTTAAGATAACTTCTTCTCGGGTTGTCAGTCACCACTACTCTCACCCTGACAATCACACTTGATTAAAGGAGCTACGTCACGGATGGCGCATCTTGAAAAAATTGGCCAATTTTTTCAAGTTTGTCAGGCATTTGCAATCCGTCTTAATCTTCTCCATCCTCAACCATCCTTGTTCCTGTTTGGTTTATTAGCGCCTCTTTGGCATTTTTCTACTTTAGTAAACTATTATTTTGAGGCTTTCTTCAGTTTGAATGTGATTTTGCACTTCACATAAATGACTTAAAAATATTGTGACATAGCTCCTTTAACTAAGAATTTGTATGTAATTAAGTCAACACAATCTCCCTAGTGGTTTTTGATTTAACATTCTCCTGCTCTGTTATCAGTTGTTACACTACACTTTGTTACACCTAGTTTGTTCTTCACTTTACCTTGAAAATTCTTAATGTGTATGTTATCTGAAATCTTTTGAATCACATGTATCTCTTTGCTGTTTTTTAGTTCTGTCCTGGTCTTCAGAGCACTCTTGATGCTGAATCTGTCATGAAACTCATTCTTCAACATTCAAAAGTAGTAAGTATTAACTCTTGCTTAACAAGTATTAAAATGATGAATTACATGTGATGTAAATGCCTATTTGTAGTACTTATGACAAAGGTACTCATGTGCACTCGCTTAAACCTCGATTATTCAGACTTGGTGGGACTTACAAAAACACCTCATCTGGATAATCAAGCCTCCAGATAATTATTTGCGTAGAGCAGATTTCATCTGTACCGTAAAACCAAAACCAAAGCAATTGAAGGGCGTGGTGGAAAAACGGCATTATGACAATATAATTATATTGTCATAATGCCGTTTTTCCACCACGCCCTACAATTGCAATAGCCAATCACAACATACATAACAAAAAAATGAACCTTGAATGAGAACTCAAAGCAAATACAATGTAACTGGTGTCAAGTGTGGGAAAACTCAACCAATTTGTGATTGACTTTGGTTTTGCAACTGATTGGTTGAGTAAGTGGGCCAATTTTAAAACCAATCACAGGATGTAATAAAGCAAAACAAAAGCAACATTCTGTAATTACTTTCAAAGTTTGATTTGCTGGAAAAGTGACAGTTGTATCTACATAGCTATATATGTAAGGCAGTGTTCAGGCATATAATATTTTAGTTTGCATTGTTTTAATTCCTTTCTGCTGTTGTATTCTTTTTGCAGGAGTTTTCTAAGTTATTTGCATTTATTCATAAGGGAGCCATCTTGCTACCTAAGTCATGTGATATTTTGGACAAAAAAGATACACCAAACTTCTATAAATTTGAATGTAAGTGTAGTTGTATATTTGACATAGAATACCACTTGCTAAGAATGTAAACACTTAGGAAATACATGTACATGTAAGACCTCCCACCAATAACTGCCTCTTCACCCAATAAACATCCATGACCTTTTTATTTTAAAGGTTTACATGTAGCTCTTAAATAATATAATTTCATCAGATTATCAGCCCCTGACTGTAGAGCGTATTTTGCATTTCATATCATTTGTGGTTTGTTATAAGAGAATATGATTTTCATCAGAATACTGTAGAGTTTGCTTTGTGCTTGTCTGACATCAATGAGATTCCATCCAAATAATTATAAGTAACTCTTTTAAATATGCAAAATTCCACCTAATAATGGTCTGATGCCCTCCCACCCCCCCCCCCCCCCCCCCCTTCATTTTAATAACTTTATAATAATTATAACACTGTAGTTATGTTTTGTTTATTTGTAGTGGAGTGTGACAGACTCAAGCTATCTCTTACAGGAGGAAACTGGAGAATTTCCAGTAAGTATTTTGGGGGTGTGGGTTCAAGCCCTGGCTGGGGTCATTGTGTTGTGTTCTTGAGCAAGACACTTTACTCTCATAGTGCCTCTCTCCACCCAGGAGTATAAATGGGTACATTCTACCAGCGAAGTGTTAGGGCAACCTGACGAAATGTTGGGGGAGAGTAACATGCAATGGGCTAGCATCCCATTTAGGAGGAGTAGCAATTCTCCTTGGCTAGTTGCTTCATGCTCCAGCAGTTATATGGCACTGACAGCTGTGTGAATTACTGGGGCAACCTGACAAAATGCGGGGGATGGGGTGGGGATGGGTAACCTGCAGCTGCAATAATTTACTAGCACCCCATCCAGGGGAAGCAATAATGGACTAGTACCAGGGAAGTAGCAATACTCTTAGTCATTTCATGATACAGATACCAGTGTTATAAAACCCAAGCATAGGTTAATTATCATACAACAAGAAAAGCCTACAACATGCATTTTTCATAGTCCTTAAAATGCACATTATAAGCAGTAAAATTTGTCCTAGCCCCATATTTTAAACCAATTAAAAGTGGTTCATTTCACTGAATTTTCACTTCTATCTGCTAAAGAAGGACTAAGGTTGACCCGCAACTTGAGCTGTTGTCAAGGAATCCGCGCTTGTTGCTATGGTAGAATTGTAGCATTTCTACTGTTGAAATCACTCAAAAAATGACATATTCATGTTAAGAACAAAAAAACTAGATGATGACTGTGTAGTATTTCTGTTGCAAAGAGGTGAAAATGAATGGACTAGCATCCCATCCAGGGGGAGTTAAAGCTATACTCTGAGTCAGCGTCATGCTGCAGAAACTGGGATAAGCTCTGGCAGTGTGGAACTGTCCCAAATGCAGCTTTTTGATGTTTTTATTAATAATAGTGGGTGTCATTGTTTCAGGAGAAAGGCGACCTTTTCAGTATCCTGTACAGACAGTCGTTCCAAATTCAATGACAAATGATGAATTAACTGAAGTAAAAAAATTTTCACAGGTTGGTATTCAGAGGAATGTCCCTTAATGTCTTTTATTTCAGTTAAAATATCACTGTCCCGAAAAAATGACATGTCATGCAGAGAAGGGTGAATTACTATCGGAAGGACTTGCCTCCGATATTTGAGGGGCTTATTTTTGGGAGAGCTTATTTCTCTATTTGGGGGGGGGGGGGGGGGAGATACCTTCTGACTAGACTGTTGAATAGTTTACTTGTAAGAAATTTGTTCATATAACACGCGCTCTGATTGGTTGCATAACCATTTTAGATCAGCTTTTGTAAACACAGGTATGACATCACATAACATTTTATAGGCTTTATTTTGTAAAAGAAATAGAAAATGGCCGCCTTTGTTCACATAACCTGATGCAAACACTTGAGTGAGTCTTGGACAATTTAAAAAAAGTACTTTTGTACACCCTCACCTGTGGCTCGGGCTCACAAGAACTTTCAAAACTCTCAAAACTCCCTCTCCTGTTTTGTATCAAGCTACTGTTAGTAAACACACATGCCATTTTCTAATATTTCTTAAATATTATCCTTCCCTCTACTGCAAGATGGAAGGGACTTTGCCTGATGTATTACCAATGTTAAAAGAAATGTGTTGCAATATTGGTTTTACCGTTAGTTTGAGAATTATTTTCTGATCTTGAAATATATTTATGCCTTTTCTCTTTAACCCTCAATAACTTTTAACCCCAAAGCTGCCTTGCCTGAGCTCTGTTTACTGGGCAATGATCAAACAACATTGTTTGGACTAATATGGCTATGGACAAAGGCCCCATAGCCGCTTTTATTAAAATATCAAATTTCATTGAAAAATGAGTAATACATAGTCTGGCCCAGTAAAGGTGAGGGCACTGAAAACAGACACCTAACTACACAATGAGACAAGTGGACAAGGCATGGGGAGGAAGTGGCTAATCAGAAAACATGTCTTGATCCACGGCTGACGCGAGACGAATGACGAGCACATGGCTTGGATGATCACATGACCCATTCACAAGCGTGAGAGGGGGGCTTACCCTAATTCCCGTAACTCCTCCCCAGGAGTACTTCATATTAAATGAATGAAACTACTACAGAGAAAAGACATAAAAATTCTATTTGCAGGCAAATATTTTATTGAAAGGATGGAATATTTATCTTTTGTCAATTTTAATTTATTTGTGATATGTCTCTTTAGAGGAGGATGTTTTCCAGTGGTTTTGTTGGAGACATCATAATAGTGGTGCAGTCTTGTTAAGATCATCCACTGCTTTGTTCAGAAGGTATAAATATTGGTATTAATAGGTAATCATATGATTATTAGTGCAATATGGAATGAAAAAGTGTACTAAGTAAATTTTTTCTCAG